TCAGAAAGAAAAAAACGAGTTGTTTGTCGTTGTTGGTGCGACCAGAAAGCAAAATCTAGAGCTGTAAAAAGGAAGATTGAAACACTGTCATCAGAGTCACTGGTAAGCTAGTTGAGTAGCAACAATCAATGCAAACAAAGAGGTAGAGCAAAGGTTGCTTACCAAAAAACCAAGGCTTACATACAAGCATTGACAGAGGAGTTGGAAACTGTTAATTGTTCAGCTGAAAAATACAAAAAACGTTGGTCAAGGCTTAAATGTTCTCTGCCTGGTTCACAAGCAAATTCACCTACAACCACTGAATCACCTAAAACCCCTAACTCTTCTCTGTTATCAAAAAGTACAACTCCAAACAGTGAGTGCCATCAGGGTAATGTATCGTTTGATGTTGAAACACAGGATTTAATCATTTATTCTAGAATAACAACTGGAAAGAAACAGACTGTAAAAAAAAATAAAGATAAAAAACAAAAGCGACTACTACTTGATTCATTAATAAACCTTTATGAAAAATTCAGCGCGGTATATGCGAGAAACAATATTTCATATACAAGATTTACTCTTTACCGTCAATTTTTTGTCTGCAAACCCTCTGCTAAAGATAGAGACACATGTCTGTGCAAAAAACATAAAATTACTTTGATAAACTTATTAACCTGAGTGAAGAAAATATTGAAGAAGTAGTGAAATAAGTTTGTTGTAGTACTGATAGAAGAGAATGCATGTTCAGAGAATTTAACATTTGTTTGAACTATCGTGTTCAATTTATCATGTTTGGACTATCATGTTCAATTTCATGCAAAAGAATTGCTAAAAGATGAATTATTATAGTTTGGTTCCAGAAGGAAATGTGAAATATGAATAAGAGAATATGAAAAGAAGGGAGAAAAGAAAACAATAAATATTATCTGGAAAAGTGTAAAGCGTCGAACACTTAAAGATCTTAAAGTAAAATTCTGTGAATCAATTCAAAACAAGCTATGCAAGCATGTTTTTATAATAAGACATCAGTTCAGAATGTGCAAACATTTAAAAGAAACAGTAAATGTGAACGCAGCTGTATACATATAGATTTTTCTGAGAACTATGTGTGCAAGAATTTTGCTGTAATTCAATCTTCACATTTTGGAGCAAATAACAAACGAGCTACATTGCATACCAGAGTAATTTATAAAATGGATGGCATCAGTCATTTACAACTATATCCGACTCTTTGAGGCGCAATCCTCTTTCTATTTGGGCACATCTGAAAACCATGCTAATTAAACTCAAGTTAGATAACCCACAAATTACAGACCTTTATTTTTTTCTGATGGACCAACCACGCAATATAGGAATAATTTTTTTCTGATGGACCAACCATACAATATAGGAATAAGCAAAACTTCTTCTTATTCTCAACAGTGCTATACAAATTAAAATTTCAATTAGCCAGTTGGAATTTTTTTGAAAGTGGACATGGCAAGGGAGCACCAGATGCGATAGGAGGATCTGTAAAACATCAGGTGGATCAATTGGTTAATATGGGCTGTGACCTTCCAGATGCAGAAAGTTTATACAATTTTCTTAACACTGGAGATTCATTAATAAAGTCTTAATTTATTGAGAGATCCAAAATTACTTTTTTTGACTCAAGATGTTCCAAACATTAAAGGCTATTACAGGCACTATGAAATTGCATCAGCTGCACACAGACTGAGAAGTTTGTGTTTTGTATTGAAATTTAAGCTGCTTCTGTAAGAGAACTACAGTTCGCACATGCTACAATTTAAAACAATATATGTTTTCCAAAAGCACTAGCATTGTAAACAAATATTTGTGTATTTTATTATTTTGGTAATTTATTTGTTTCTATAGTAATTAAATTTAATTTAAGGACTTCCATGATGCAAAATTTCTTTTTAATAATGCAGAATTTGATCAGTGGTGAAAGTACTATCTCGGCTAATGCAAAGGTCAATGATTACCAATTTCAACATTTAGGCAGCAATATCATTGATCTGGTTAAGTTTGATGAAAATTTGAATATCTTTTTGATTGCAGCAAATGATGTTGTGAGCGATCGCGAATTTCTTCACATTAATGATGTATGGTAATGATTGGTATTCCAGTAACGGAGCGGACAGTATTTGTACAAATTAAAGTCGAAAAGAATTTCTGTCGAGTTTTTTTTTTTAAAAGACGCTTTATCTTTTTTATAAAAACAATGTACTGACTTTTATGTATACTAAGATTTTCTCATTAATCTGAAATGTAACTTAAAATATTTTGCTTTTAAATAATAAATATTTAGCTAATGTCAGTAACGGAGCAGACATTGTCATATAAAATAAATTTTTTATGTCAATAAATTTGGGTAATATTCTTAACATGTATGCTGTAGTTATAGTACCAAATATATTTCATTACGAAAATAGAATTTGTTACAAAAATAATAATAATTCACAGATATAGTTACATTGATGTTACGGTAACGGAGTGGAAAAAATTATTGGGACTCATAACTTGACAATATCCAAAAAAATTTAAAAAAGTAGATAAGTGCAAAACCAAATCTATTTTCTACATCCCTAATGATTAAACTTAAAATATTTGTTAAAGTTTTATAGATAACGCAAACTTTATTTTCATGCAACATTAGTTGCGACAAAACCGTTTAAAGAGAAATTGACTCTTGAACAATTTATATACTATAAATTAAAAATATATATATAACTGTCAATTATATTTTTTTAAAAAAACCATTATCAGTAAATTGTTACTTTATGTAAAACTGTTTTTTTAATATAAAAGCATTTGTTAAGAAGTTTTGATGCAATTAATTTCACTTTTTCAGAATATTTTTCATTTAGAACAATTTTAAAATGTTTTTTGAATTAGCTGCGGTCAAATCATTATAGCAAAATGTAATTTGCCTGGTAATATAAAGATGTGAAATTGCACGCCTTCCTGTGAAAACCTGATTATGTGTGTTATAAACATATACACACACATATGTCAAAAAATCACCCTCTAATGACTTAAAGGTTGGTTTTTTATGCCTAAATTGTTTTTTCTTTAGAGAATACGTTTTTATCGCAAGAAGTTTATGTTTTTATACATAGGAAAAAAATTAATCCACCTGTTAAATAATTAATAAGCTAATATAAAAGTCGATTTTTTGACTTGATGACTGCAAGTCAACTTGTAGGAATTTACCAAGTTCTTTAGCCATTGTGGATCAAATTTTTTTTTTCCCTGATGAGAGTTGACTGAACACATAGTTTTTGTTATAAATATGTGTACATATATATATATATATATATATATATATATATATATATATATATATATATATATATATATATATATATATATATATATATATATATATATATATATATATATATATATATATTAGGGTGGGGTGAAAAAAATTTTTTTTTTCTGATTTTTGATTTGCTATACCGCGGAAAACATCCTTTAAGGGTATCTAAGGAAAATGCAAAAATAATACCAATATTTTACATCTGGAGCTAGCGCATTGTACTAGAATATTTAAATAAACACTTGCTTTTTATCATTTTCGTAACAAAGTGCGCTTTAGAGTATTTCCAAAATACGCTGCAAAATTGGTATTTTCTTGCCACAACAACTTGTTTTGATATAATTTTGTTTTGATTATTTAATAAAATTAACCAATCTGTGATGGCTGTTTTTAAAAAAATTACTTGAAGCGAATTTAAGTGCCCGATTTTTGGTCATCCAATAGAATTATCTGCAAATAAACTTCCAACTTATGAAGAAGTTCTCAAGTGTTGTTTTAATATGTGTGAAAAAAGAAAAAAAAATCCCCATCATTGAACTAAAATTGTATACTATAAAAAGAATGCATGGTATTGGTAAAATTGAAAGTATTGACATCAAAGAAACAAAAAAAATTACACAAAGACACGATAGGAAATGTGCTGAACTTAAAAGAACTATGCCCGCTAATAATCTATTATCGCAACATTCATGCTCAAACCATTTGGATGAAACACTAAAACAAAAAGAGTTCGATAGTGATGCCTCCATAGCCATTACAGAAGTCATCGATGAAAAATTAGAAGAATTTTAGCTAACTAAACCATCATGGCAGATTACAATGAAAAATACTGCTCTGACTAGCCATCGCTATGGATTATCAGACAGAGCAACGGCAACTATTCCCTCAAGTGTTTTGCAAGGTTTTGGTATTGTAACCAATTATGATCCCAGTCTTGTTGTTGACAAAAATAAAATTAGAAGAGCAAAAGTGGCTAACCGTTCACAACTTCAAATGCAGAGCAAGGGGAAATATGACCCACTTCAAGGACTGTATTTTGATGGGAGGAAGGACAAAACTCTAGTGGTTGAAAAAATTAAATCGAAGCGGTTTCAACAAACCATAAAAGAGGAACATTACTCAATTTTACAAGAACCAGGTTCCGTGTACGTTGGTCATGTTTCATCAACTTCTGGGTCTGCTGAAAACATTGCCAGTAGCATTATTTCATATTTGAATGAAGCTGGACTTTCATTTCATGAACTGGACGTAATCCGATACGATGGCACTGTTACTAACACGGGATGGAAATCCGGTGTTATTGCCACAATTGAAAAATATGTAAACCGACCACAGCAGTGAAGGATTCGTCTCTTACACTTCAACAAATTGCCATTCCGGCATTTATTTCAAATGTTAGACGGAGAAACGACAGGCCCAAAATCATTTAGCAGTTGGATTGGCGCACATCTTAATATATGTGAAAAATTACCAGTGGTAAAATTTGTCAGTGTCCATTGTGAAATTCCAGAAATTGACCGCAAAATTTTAAGCAAAGATCAGCAGTTCTTGTTGGATATAAGTTCTGCCATTAAATCAGGCAGTTGTTCAGAAGATTTATCTTTTCCTGAACCTGAAGCAATTTCATACTCAAGGTGGTTAACAACTGCAAACAGAGTTTTACGATTGTATTTGAGTCTTGAAACCCCCCAACAGAGGAGCACAAAATCTTAGTTTCTTTTCTTTTAAATCATATGTCCCTGGATGGTTTCATAAAAAAAAAGTAAATACTTCACAAATGGAGTAGAACATGTATTTGAAATGATAAAGTCATAAGTTTCCTGCCCAATGATTTGCTAATAGTAATAGACCCAGTAATTGAGAGAAACGCTTTTTTTGCACATTCAGAAAACTTGTTTTTAATAATGGTAGTAGACAAAAGGGTTCATATTAGGGAGTTGGGTTTTAAAAGAATTATAAAGCTAAGAAGCCTAGCTTCTCAAAAAAAATTTATCAGGAGTTTTCAACTACCCAAAATTAATTTCTTTGCTACCGATTATACAGAGATGATTGACTGGAACACTACCACACTTTTGCCTTTGCTGCTAAGAGTCTCAGATAAAGATATTTGGTCAAAGATCCAATCAGGTGAAACAGCGGCTGAGTGGAAATTTGAAAAGTTTCCATGCCACACCCAAGCAGTAGAACGATGCGTAAAGCTTGTAACAGCGGCTTCACAAAAAGTAGCTGGCTTAAATTCCAGAGATGGCATTATAAGAACTACACATAACTCCAGATCCTAAATGCCTAATTTTTAAAGCAAATCGTATTTTAAACTACCAACAGAAATTAGCGAAAAGTAAAAGAATATATTTTTTCACAAAAGTTATAGTCAAAAAGATGATTTTTTAATTCAAAAAAAAAATTTCTTATTCACCATTCCAATACTTTTTTTACTTAAATTGTCTCTACATACAGTGGCATAGGTAAAGTTTTCTGGGGCCCAGGGCAACGCTGAAAATTGGCGCCTCCCTCCTGAAACAGACATGCGAACTAAAAAAAATGTCATGAAGGAAACTTTTAGCAATAAGGCCCTGAAGGGGCCGCATATGGAGGTCCTACTAGGAAGGGGGGTGGCTTAAGAGCCCCTCCCCTTCCCAGCTAGGGGTATGGGGTAGTGCTGTAAGTTCCTTCAGCAAGGTCTCGGGTGGAGCCCACATTTGACAACGGTTTTGCAACATATTATACACCTAAAGTTATGCTAAAGTACCTCATTTTAAATAATATTTGGACTGACTTGCGTAAACAAATTCAGCCCAAAACCCTTTTTGGTTCCCCCCTCCCCAGAGAGGCTCCCGGGGTGACTGCCCCACAAGCCCCACCCTTATTACGCCTTTGTCTAGATATTTAAAGAATTTATTCAATTTCATTTCATTTGTAAGAAAATTACAAAAAGGGGATTATTCAAGCGCGATGCGCTAGCTCTAGACGTAAAATTTTTTTTTTTTTTTTTTGCATTGTCCTTAAGTACCCTAAAGACAAGTTTTTTACGGTATAGCAAGTCAAAAATCAAAAAAAAAAATTTTCGATTCACTCAAATATATATATATATATATATATATATATATATATATATATATATATATATATATATATATATATATATATATATATATATATATATATATATATATATATATATATATATATATATATATATATATATATATATATATATATATATATATATATATATATATATATGTATATGTGTATATATGTATATATATATATACACACTAGGGTGCATCCAATGCCCCATACTTTCAAAATTTGATCTGTTCGTATTCTTAAAACCATCTGTTGGTTCTCACGAGACACTCTGTTAAATTTTTTCAAAATTAAATGAGATTTAGGGGGGCCACATTAAGTCTGAAACTTGCAACGAGACCCTAAACAGAAGAAAAAAAAGTTTTTCAAATGTATGTCATGTGGTCTCAAAAGAAGCGAAACTTTATAAAAATTTCAAAAATAGTTATGACTTTTTGTTAAAAATACCTTGAAAAAAAATTTCGACCAAAAACCATGAAAAAATGGCTTTTTTTAATTTTTTGCTAAAAAAAAATTTTTATGTAATAAAACTTATAATAAATATTATGTAAAATTTTTATTGTTTTAGAAATTTTTTTATAAAATTTCGCTTCTTTTGAGACCCAACATGACATACATTTGAAAAACTTTTTTTCTTCTGTTTAGGGTCTCGTCGCAAGTTTCAGATTTGAGGTGGCCCCCCTAAATCTCATTCGATTTTGAAAAAATTTAACAGAGTGTCTTGTGAGTACCAATAGAAAGTTTTAAGAATAGGGACAGATCAATTTTTGAAAGTATGGGGCGTTTGATGCACCTTAATACACACACACACACACACACACACACACACACACACACACACACACACACACACACACACACACACACACACACACGCAAGTTTCCTAGTTTAATATATTATGTATTTTTAGAGTCAATGAGAAATGGGTTTAAAGAAAGTGAAAGTGAAATTAAAGTTCAAATAGGAAACTGGTTGAAACAAGCTCCCAGGAGGTTACAACGTCATAATCCTAGTATAAAAAGTTCGAATTCGCCGAGTTCAAGTCACGATTTGTCATAATTTGTGTCATAATTTTTGATATTTTTTACACATAACATGTGTCATAATTTTTTAATTTTTTTTCTGTATGTATTTTTAAAGTTTTATGTCTTAAATAAAAAATAAAACGGATTCCTAATTGTCATATTTACAGAATTGTTTAGATCCGAGCTGTGAATTAATAAATGTTATTAGTAGGTGACCCGTTAAGTTAACTACGTAATTAACAATGACCAAATACTAAACTAGTTTGTGGGAGTTAAGATTTAATTCGAAACAATTTTTTGGTTAAAAATGGCAACAAAAATAATGCTCTGCAAGAGAACATTAAAAAAATATATATTTACGAAGAAATATAAGAGAATCCAATTCCTTTAAATGCATATGACAAAGATTCTTGTGCCATTTTTCATGTACATTTTGTATATATATAATTTGCACTTATGAGTACTTTATGATTCGATTAGTTATATGCGTACTATGACAATTGAATAAAGAAGCTATTTCAGGGCATTAGCTGAATGTTTGGAATCTAATGCAAAAGGTATATATAACCGTATATATAAAAAACATAGATGCCGCCGAGGCCGTTATAATTGAAATAGGGCAGGTTTTAAGTTTTGTAGAATTAATTTTTAAAATTTAATTTGCAAGAATATTATGTGAGTATATACATGGTGGGCCATAAAAAGTGTCCACATTTTAATGTGCAATAACTGAAACAAGTTTTATTTCACGTATGCAACAATGTTGCAGGTTTTGTTCAGACCAATCTTATCAAAAATTGTAAATTTTACATAATAAATAGTTCATAATTTGTCACAGAATAAATAGTTCATAATTTGCTCAATCCATGCTCCACGTTGTTGAATGACAGAAGCGAGACGAACGTTGAAGTTGTCCACAACTCTTGTCAGTATCTCTGCAGGAATGGTTCTGATTTCTCTTATGATGCTTTCTTTTAGTTCTACACTTGTTCTTGGATTGTCTGTGAACACTCGTTTTTTCAAATAACCCCAAAGAAAATAATCAGCAGGGTTCAAGTCTAGTGAATATGGAGGCCAGGGATTGTCTGTCCGGTGAGAAAGAAGTCTGTCACCTAGGAACTGTTGTCTCAAGTACTCAAGAGTTTTGTTTGAACAATGAGGTGGTGCCCCATCTTGCTGGAAGACAATTGTGAGGATGTCAATATTCCTCCTTCTTCGGATTGCTAGAATAAATATTTTTCGTAGCATTTTGATGTAACTTTCGGAGTTCACTGTCACAGCATTTCCCTCTTCATAAAGAAAGGCCCCTACAATCCCTCATTTGCCAATTGCACACTACACTGTTACTTTTTCTTGGCTCAATGGTGTCTGTATGTGTTCATGGGTTGATTAGGTTCCCAAAATCTCATGTTTTATTTGTTGACATATCCAATAAGATGAAAATGGGCCTCATTGCTAAAAAAAATTAGGTCAACAACTCTCGGGTTGTTTTCAATTCGTTAGGAAATTCAAAATTCAAACCTTTCTGTTTTGTTTGCATTGGTTTGTTGTTGGAGAACTTGTACTTTGTAGGGAAAGAACGTTAAGTCTTTGTGTAATATTCTTTGTACAGATGTTATTGAGATACCAACCTCCTGTGACTGTTGCCTTATTAATTTTCGTGGAGATTGTTGCAAATGGTCCCGTACTACTTCAATGTTAACTTGAGTTCCAACTGAAAATGATTGATCACTATGGCCTTTATTATTATCTACGATACTACCAGTGTTCCTGAATTTAGCCACGAGGCGTTTAATAGTTCTTGGACATGGACAGTGTCTGCCAGGGAACTCTCTACAAAAATTTCGCCCAGTGAAATTTTCGTAGAAAACCACAGAATTGGTAGAACCACAGAATTGGTAGCAAAGTGAAGTTTGATGATTTTGGTCGTATCCTATATTGGAATGCGATCCATTTTGGCGTCAAACGAATTGTCAATGCGTAACGTACAATCTATCTAAAACGGAAAAATCAAATATCACGTTGCATGAAAAACATTTTACAAATTATACATGGACACTTTTTATGGTCCACCCTATATATATATATATATATATATATATATATATATATATATATATATATATATATATATATATATATATATATATATATATATATATATATATATATATATATATATATATATATATATATATATATCGATGGTTAAGATCACAAAGGGAATACGTCCACTAACCATTGTTTTGAGAAATCTGAATCTGAAAGTTTGAAAACATACAATAATTCAAGATATTTATTTATTACCATGATTTTTAACCAAATGCATTCCTCAATTAATTTTGTCTTGTTTTTACTATTTTATTTTCATTTCTTTTACATACTTTAATACCTAATTTCTTTGAAAAATATAAGAATTATCTACAAATTTTACTGATTTTTCAGTTTAAAGCATGTGTGTTTATGTTTACAATAGATACAAAAAATTTTTTTTTTACATTTTTTAATTACATTTTTTTTTTACATTTTTAGTTACATTTAGAAAGTGCAAAAAAACTTGAGATTCTAACTATTTTTATTTTAAATTTTAGAGTATGTTTGCATGATTTTAATACTCTTTTAAAACACACATAAAGTATAATTTGGTGGCACACTTTATCCTTTCTAGTAAATTTTTAATGATTGAGAGAAAGTATGTGCATAGTAAGCTGCATAAAGACTCTTTATACTTTTTATTTGCGTTTTGAACAGATGATATATAGTCTGTGATACAAAGTACAAGTAAAATTTTATGACTAATGTAAACTGTCTTAGCTAGGGCAAAAGTTAGAGCCGACTAAAACTTTAGGCATTTTCTCTAATGAAAATTGTCAAAAAAAAGCAGCTAACAGTTTGTAAGCAGTTTTTACCCAAAAACTTTATATAGCTTTATTATTATTTTATATAATTTTAAACTCACCGTAAAATGCTCAGATTGTAGTTGAAAAGTTGGTCATAATATCATCTGTCATTCTGATTGGTTTAGTGCATGAAAAATAAAAAAGATCATCTTAAAAGCATACTAAAGCAAAAAAAGTATAAAGAATTCTAACAATTGCGTAAATTACTATCTGATCTAATCAGCAGTAGCCACTGCTGAATAACCAAAAAACCAGATACCTTTAATAGAACTTGAATACCTTTAGTAAACCTTTAGTAGAGCATGAATACCTTTAGTAAACCTTTAGTAGAACATAGATACCTTTAATAAACCTTTAGTAGAACATAAAGTATTTGTTTTAGCTTAACACAAACTCCTGTTTGGAGCGAACCAAGTTGAAACACATTATTTTATTGCACACATTGTTGTATATATATATATATATATATATATATATATATATATATATATATATATATATATATATATATATATATATATATATATATATATATATCATAGGTGCCCGCAGAAAATTTTCTAAGGAGGGGCAAAACATTTTTCATTTCGTTTTTATTTTCATATAATATTAATACAAACGTTACGGGGGCGTTTATGCCCCCGTAACATTTGCACTTCCGTTTATACCCCCGAAACGTTTGTACCCACTTCCCCTACGATTGATTCTCTAAAATAATATATTCAATTACATATTATAAAATGTAAATGTATTATAATATAATAATAATATTACATTATTACATATTATAATGTGTAAATTAATAAACTATTTTAGATTTTAAATGTATTATAATATAATATAATATTATAATATGTAAATGAATATATTATTTTAGAGAATTAATAGTATATAAATCTATATATTGTAATATAAAATATTTATAGCGAATTTATCTTTGAAAAAAACTTAATGTTTTTCTGTGTATATATACTATATTTAATGTTAATTAATAAAACACAAACTATTTAAGTGTATTGCAAAGTCTAATGAATTTTAAGTTCAACTTAAAAAAGTTTCAGAAATTTTCGAATAGAAACGAAAGTAAGTCTTTACTCTTAGCAATGATCTTCCAGTTTTAATTTTCCAGTTATATTTAAACTTTAAACTCTAACGGTTGAAATAATAAATAAAAAATCTAAAAATATTTTACTAAGCTGCTGCTATCGGAAGAGTTAAGCTGCTGCAATCGGAAGAGTTATGCTATTGACCTACAATTAAGTACTTAAGCAAACATTTAATACATAATTTAGTAGAAAAGTTAGCAAAGAATAGAAAAAAAATTACATACTAGGGGACTTCAATTTAGATTTTTTTTATTATACTGTTTCCAGTACAATAATAAAAAAAAAACGATAAAAATTTTATATTTATTAATTCGAAACGGGAACAATACCTGTGGCTATATATGTGGCAAAACATGTGGCTCAGTTGGTTAGAGCGTCGAACAAAAAAGTTTAAACCCGGACAGTTGCAAGATACGAGTTCAAATCCTGCCACCGTCAACTCAGCGCTTGAATAGTACTTCGGTACGCAAAAATGTTGGTCTATAACGGACGATACTTTAGATTAGTCTTAATGACTATTTGTGGCTGTTCCTATGCTAAGCCAACAATATCTTTGGATATAAGAACATTGTATACAAAAATATAGCATGAAAAATTCAAATAAAATAAAAAAAATAATAATAAAAAAATACCCATAAAACATAGATAAATTTACTAGAATTACAAATCGTTCATCTCTTTTAATTCTAACCATTGACTTTTTTAATAAAACACTTAAAAAGGCATATTAAAAACTTATTACGCTTAGGGGTGTCTAGTAAAGGCGGGGAAAGGTGCAATTTTTAAACTTTTTCGATTCCATGCATCCAGACCATTAAGGATAGAATGGGAAGGGGGAGGGGGTTGGGTTGGTTGATCCAAACTGTCTAATAAAGTAGGAGGAAGGGGAGCTTTAGGTTTTTAAGTTATTTGATTTTAGAATTTTAGTCTTTCACTGTCTTAATCTACGTAAATATGAAATTATATCAATATCCTATCAGTCCTATCAGTCCGATATTTAATGCACAATACTAGTTCATTAAAAAAAGTTTATTATTTTTAAACAACCTTCCTAAACTACTTCTATTTTCA